CATTTGATATTTTATATAGAAAAATATAAACTTTAAAATTAAAAAAAAACGAAGAAAAATTTTTATTTTTTAATGAAAAATTAATTGTTTTTAATAAACAATTTAAAAAATTACCATGTTCTGCGCTAGCTAGCAACTTTTTTCAAAAATGTATCGAATCTATATAGATTCAAGTTCATTTTGCAAAAATAAAAAATTAGTTAGGTCCATATTTGTCCAAATGGCGTTTATTTGTTTATAACGGTGAGCGAAATATGTCGCGAATGACTTTGGGTCAGAATTTCTCAAACGGATCACCTAAAACTAAAAAGTTTTCTATTTGAACCAAAATAGTTTTTTTACTCTTAATATGGTTAAGAAGAATCCCTGAAAATATTAAGCCAAAAAAAAATTTTTTGTAAAAGTTATTAACAATTGAATTTTTTAGTACTGCTAAATTAACAAATTTTTTTCTCGAGTTCTAGTTGACGGATTTTAAAATTAAAATATGAGTTTTTTTCGTCTTGAATTGCACTATTTGAATATATTTTTTGTTTTTTTATTTTTTATAATTTTTTATATAATTTGTTTATAAAATGTTAATAAACAAATATTTTTTTCACGTCCTAACAAAAACATTAAAATTGTATTCTATTCCTTAAATGTCTCTGAGTGAAAAACCGTTTCGAAAAAAAATGAGCCTCAATTAGAAAAAAAGTTATTAATTAAAAACTGCAGCCGTGTAGGGCTTTATATGACGTTAAAAATTGTCTGCAACCTACAAATTTTATCGGATTTTCATGGGCTTGGTCTTAAATTAAAGGGGATAAAATTTCTAAGAGATCCCTCTAAACCAATTTTTGAATTTTAAATTGTTTATATTTTTTTGTTACTCAAAGTTAACAATTTACAATATTTTTAGAAAAAATCATGTTTACTTTTTTATTTTTTCATTGCAGATGATTGGAATCAATTTTAATTAGTCCAGCATGACCACCAGACAAATAATAATGTATAATACAATTTATTTAAATTGTTGCAAACAATGTTAATTAACAAATAGATAACTTTAGTTCTTTTTTATAAACAAAATTTTTTTTTTCAGACATATTTATATTTATTTAAGTAATCTATGTCGATTTTGATAAAAAATTATTTTATATTTAATAATTACTATCATTATTAACAATCATATGGACAATAATCTAGCCAATTTTCACTTTATCAATTAGCTATAAACGGCATATAATTCCATTTGTTTCCACAAAACTGTTTAAAAAAAAATCCGACCTAACTTGAAGGGGGAGGGGGGAGTTAACTTTTTTTTAAAAAAATTCCTGACAAGTTAATTATTACTTAATATTTTTTATTGAAACTCGCACGACTTTTAGTTAAAAACATGTATTTTATGAAAAAAAATTGAACTTAACGTTTTGTGCTTTTATTTTTCATTTATATCATGTAAAAGTACATGCATCCTTTTTCAACTTTCGGACGGTGGAGTGGGGGAACTCGGTGGCGCTTGATTCTCGCCCGCCACAAAACTGAATTCAGCCGTTCAAATTCGCAAAAATGGTCGTAATTTCGTTAATTATTGACCGATTTTAATCTTTTTTTTTTAATTTCATGTATTTTTTTATGCTGAATCCAAATATGAATTTATATATTTTTTAAATAAAATATTTTTTGTAGAAATAAAAATTTTTTTTTAACACCAAATTTTTATTATTATTTATTATATTTAACAAAAAATATTCTTTGTACATCTTATTTTATTCAATTTAAAATAATGTTATTTAAAAAAAAAACTGAAATTATTTACCAATAAGCGTGTAGCATCAAGTTTAAGCGTTGTAGTGGCAAAATAATTATTTTTAATGGGTTAAAGTAATTTTATTAACTTTTTTTTTTAAATAAGAACAAAGGTGTGTCATAAAAGAAACAATATTATATTTTTTATTAAATACTATTTACAATAAACATATTTTTAATCATAATGATAATGTTAAAATGAATGATGAGTGTATGGATAATTAAAAATATGTTTATTGTAAATAGTATTTAATAAAAAATATAATATTGTTTCTTTTATGACACACCTTTGTTCTTATTTAAAAAAAAAGTTAATAAAATTACTTTAACCCATTAAAAATAATTATTTTGCCACTACAGCGCTTAAACTCGATGCTACACGCTTATTGGTAAATAATTTCAGTTTTTTTTTAAATAACATTATTTTAAATTGAATAAAATAAGATGTACAAAGAAAATTTTTTGTTAAATATAATAAATAATAATAAAAATTTGGTGTTAAAAAAAAATTTTTATTTCTACAAAAAATATTTTATTAAAAAAATATATAAATTCATATTTGGATTCAGCATAAAAAAATACATGAAATTAAAAAAAAAGATTAAAATCTGTCAATAATTAACGAAGTTAAGACCATTTTTGCGAATTTGAACTCCCCCCCCCCTTCAAGTTAGGTCGGACTTTGTTTTAAAAAGTTTTGTGGAAACAAATGGAATTATATGCCGTTTATAGCTAATTGATAAAGTGAAAATTGGCTGAGTAATTCCATTTGTTTATGACAAAAAAACACACCCTTTTTTAATTCATTTGCAACTAAACTAATTAACCTTTTTTAACGTATGACCCATCATTTGAAAGGTATTTCCAAGCTCTATAACTTTCAATAACAACTTTTTCCCCTAAAACTTAACCGGAAGCAACGAGCATCGAAAAACCATGGTTTCCAAACTTTGGGGATTGTTTACACTGTTCTTCGCACCCGGAAATCGAGAGCAAACTGTGGGGCTCTTGCAAGGAGCCCCCAAACTACCAGAAACCGTTGAGACTTTGCTGTTTGTATTTTTGGGCAGTTTTTGCACTCACCGACTGGCCTATTTGCCAAACCAGATAAAGAGTTTTTTAAGTTTTAAAAGACTTTTTAAAGGAGAAATATTTAAAGAAAGTACTATTGTACTTTTAGATGAAACTACGCACTTTTGGAAAGAAGTTTATTTTTGACGTTACATGACTTAAAGAACTTTAAAAAACACGTTTTGTATACTTTTAGGTTAGAATGTCTCTAAACCTTGACATGTTGGGACAATTTTGAAGTCAGATTCGAATTCAGAACGTCAAAAACTATCGGAAAACTACTATACAGTTCTTGGTTCTGAGATTCGTTAAAATTTTATTGTCCTGCTTAATGGCATTTTTAGATAGCTGACAACAGGGAGACCAATGCACGGAAAGCAGTTGTGCTTGAGGGCCAGTCCTATGTCAGCGTAAAAACGGGAAATAGAAAACGTTTAGCTAATAACAACTTCCGATTCAATGGTAATCATTCTAATTGAAAATTCTTATTGGTTGTTCGTTTTCCGTTTCCCGTTTTACTCTGACATGGGCCTGAACCTGTAGGCCTTTCCGTGAATGAATGAAATGCTCGACCGTATGAAAATGAACGCCATGTTCATACAAGTCGAACATGAGAAAGTCTTTTACTCCCTGTGTTCTGCTATCTGGAATCGACACTTTTGTGCATTAGGAGTAAAACATATTGTAAGTAACACGGAAACAAATGGCTGCCTTTGTTCCCTTGTTGCTTAATATACTATTTAAATAATTAAAAAATAATTAAAACTAACAAACTTGAAATGAAAATTTTTGCTTGTTTATGAAAATTAAACTGGATTTTGGTTTTAATCATTATTTCAATCATTATTTTAAAACTTTGTAATATTAGGTATAGGAAAAGTGCATCAAAACTTAATGAATTAAAAAAAATATATAACAGACCATCCAATACAAAAATATTAAGTTTAATAATTATGTGCACATCGTAATCAAAATTTTTTATGTCTTAAACTATATTTTTCTTGTACCTAATACCTTTGTACTTTTTGTTCTTGCATTTGATTTTGTCTAAAAAATTCTACTTTTCTAAGTTCAAAGAATTATATACCTGCACCTCTTTCTATAATCAAATGTCTCTATATGCATGATATTTTCACCATATTTACGGAGCACTCGTTCTCTTTACTGATCGTCGTCGTTTCGCCTTAAATTTTATCAACTTTTTACCTGCTCCATGTATTCCTAGGCTAGATTCAGACAGCGGAAGAACCCTCTCTCATCATACGTTAAAATGGAAAATGTCTCTAAAAGAAAACTTTTTTTTACTATGAAAATCGTCAAAAAATGTATTATTTTTTTTCTTATTACCATTTTCATATTTAAAATTTTATATTTTTAATATGCATTTCTTTCATTTATTTTAAATCTGTTAATTCTATATTAAAAAATTGACTTTTTTATTAAGAAAGAACTGTAATAATTAATTTTAGGGTTTCATGGTCTAAAAGGATAAAAAAAAATAATAAAAATACTAAATATTAATATGATAGAAAATTTAGAATTTTTACTTTGAATACTTAATACGAATTAATAGCTATAGTAACCATTTTCATAGCAACAGTTGCTATAGTAACCAGATTCTCTTAATAAGGGTTTCGGCCCTTGGCCACGAAACCCTAATAAAGCTTCTTCTACAACTACTTTCTTTTTCTTGGTCATGTCGACACAAACAGAACGCACTGTCAAAGCGATGCGCGCCCAACAATTTTCAGATGAGAGATATTTTTGTTTCACTAATTAATTAAAAAAGTAATTAATTAAATCTAATAAATAATTACTTAATAATTATTTTACTATTCATAATTAATTAGTGTAGACACGAACCAAGAAAAAGAAAGTTGTTGTAGAAGCAGCATAAAAAGTGAAAAACTTTTCAGTAACTATTGTAAAATTTTGATGTAACGGGGTTTCTTCCTGGTATGTTCTGGCAGTGGCTATTGGTAAAGTGAAATATTGTAGTTGAGAATAGTATCACGCAGTATGTACCTTTTTATCAGTACCTTTTTGCGCGTAAAGAGTACTATTCGACAACCACAGTACTGGTGCGATTAGTACTTTAAGCTTGCTTGAGCTTGCATGGCTGGTTGTGGTTGTTTCAGGCCGCGGCAGCAGCAGCTGCAGCATCACCTCTCTTGAAGACACCACTATCAACAGCTCAGCAGGCCAGCTACGCTGCGGCAGCGACATACACAGCAGTAGCTGCACGAGCTGCATATGGAGCAGCTGCGGCTGCAGCACAACCAGTTGCTGGATACGCAGCAGTTGCTGGGTAAGTTATAACCTCAACTTATCTTTTCAGAATAATGGAACATTCAGACCTCTGCAACTTGCCTGCTTGGTTATGCCTAAAGTCATCTAAGAAGAAGAACTGCTCTTCCTGCGCAGGCAACAGCAGCAAAAGTACAGGAGAAAGTGTAAATTTTAATTCACTGACTCTCTTACTCTTGTACGTTATCATGGCAACCTGCAGCCAGGCAGGTTTCAGATTTCTGAATGCTCCTTTAGCCTTTTTTGTTTTTCATCTTAACATTTTTTTAAATTGTGAGTAAGGAACTTGCTAAGAAGATGGTGGTTCTAGTAAGGTGATATTTCAACTATCCTTCCGATAATAAGATGTTAACTAGACCATCTGCTCGTTAAAAAAAGAAAGAAAAAAAAGCAAAGAAAAAAAAGAAAGCAAGAACATACCTATTCAGAAAGGAGGCAAGTACATGATTATTCAGAATAAGAGCCAAAAACGTACTAATTCGAAACTTAACATTTTCAGTCAGATTTCAAATTATCTGTAGTATTATAATTGAAACGATAGCATTTAATATCTAACGCGAGAAATTAAATTCATTTATATTTCATTCATAGAGTACATCTATATATATACTACAGTGCGTCCAGCTCGCTAGTCGCGTAAAGAGTAGCCACGGCGCACACTATCTGTACTGCTATCCCTTACGTCTATCTCGTCAGGGTGGAGTCAGGAACATTTGGGCTACTAGCCCTGACGAAATTCCTAGAAGGAGATATGCATGATCTTAGGTACGTCTATGACGAAGTAACATTCTTCGCTATCCTACGTATTTCTTCGCCTTAAAAACCTAGTTTCCTGAACATCTTTTGCGCCTGAAGCGATGCTGCTCTTTCGAAGATTTAACTATCGACTCATTAATGACTACACCTCTACTTTAAATCAAAGTTTAAAACGGTCCATCACATAAATACTGTTTTGATAACTAGAAGGCGCTTCACGCCCCTCACTATTAGGATTAACTGCTAAACTAAAGGTATACAGTCCCATGTCAGCGTGAAAAGGAAAACGTTCAACCAATAAGCATTTTCTATTTTAATGATTTCCATTGAATCGGAAATTGTTAGTGGCTAATTTTCCGTTTTTACGCTGACATGGGACTGATCTTTAAGTACCCGAAATCCGTCCGGTGATCAAATCCTTTGTCAACAAAAACTAATATCATTACATAATTTCATATCAATAATACTTCTTAAATTATAAAATCAAAATATTAGTTATAGATGAAAGAAAATAAACAAAAACAGTCGGATAATTAATTTTTAAAAAATTTGTTTACTTCAACGTTTCGAAATCCAACGTTTTCATTTATTTTCCTTTATCTATAATTAATACTTCTTGGACGTATTTCTAAAACTTTTAAATAAAAGTGCAACTTAAAATTTGACAGAAAAAGTTAATTCCGAATTCATTTCTTTTTCCTTTACATTCTGAAGAAGTATGTTCTTCTTTTTCTAAATAGGTATGTTTTTGCTGTTTTCCGAATAAGTATGATATTCCACTAACCCGAATAATTGTACCACGTGTCCAGATCAGATGATCTATTCATGACTTAATTAGAATCACTAGGAGCTAGGAGGAAAGAAACAAAAATCAGTTTTTTCAAGTTTTTTTTCGCGACCTCTGTATATGTTACTTTTCTCCTCACCCCCGAAAAGGAAAATTTATATTTTCCTATAAAAATTTGCTATAGAATTATAGCAAATACTTTAAAATTAAGACTACTATTAATTTACAATATTTTTATTATGAAATTAAAAAAATTAATTGGTATTAGGTCTGTTCTCGTTGCCAGCACTAGTGTACACTTTTACACCACCTCTAGAGCAGGTGCAGGTTAGGTGTTAAAGTGTAATAAAGTGTAGGCACCGAGAACAAACCTATTATTTAAGGGGGTATTATATCTAAATTCGTTTGAATTTTGTGTTTCTGATGAATCTGCTCCTTATAATTGTGGTTACCGCAAACGATATTTTTTATGAAGACCTTGACAAGATCGCGCATCACACCTTTACTTTTGAATATTAAAAAAAAAATTTTTAAGAATTTTTAGTTTGAGTCGTGTATTTGAAGAGAGTAAATTGTATTACTATAACAAATTTGTGGTTTTTCTCAAAAAAATTCATGAACATGATCAATTTTTTTTTGCGCTACAAGTAGGGTAATTTACTGTGGCAAACGTAAAGATTTTCACCAGCTTTACAAACTTTGTGTGCCCAGAAAGTAACAAGATGTTAATTTCCTCCTAAGCCTGTTTTTCTATGCATGTTAAGAAAATGTTAAAACCATGGAGTAGTATAAGAAGACTCAAGTACGTTATAAAAGTGGTTCGATATAAAATGATTTTAAAAAATTGTGATTTTTGAAGCATGCCTTCCACATGCATAGTGGACAAATGCATTTCTCCTCTTTCAATCAAGAAAGGACATAAATTCTTTCTTTAAACCAAGGGTTTGTTCTTTTAAATATTTAAATAATTTATGTAAACACTGAAAAACTTTTCAGCTTTAAAAATATTTAATTTCTATAAACACATCGCACAGCTGACAGTAGCAGACGACATTTAGTTTCCTTTTTCTCCGTTATAGCGGCACTATTATTACTCCGTGAGCGGCACTATTATCTGCGTGAAAGTTAAAAAGCCTGTATTTTAGGTAAATGAAATTGGCACACTCAGGCCTGGGCACACTGTATATGTACGTCGTTGACTCTCCATATACTACTTCATTGTTAAAACTATACAAAAGTAATACAAACTATTTACATTAACGCGATCTAAATACAAATAATTAAGCTATTACTTTTTACAAACTTTTTATCAAAATTGGATATTACCTTACCGAAAAAGTTTTCACTGGCTATAACAAAATTGTAGACGTTACTGCTGATTGATAATGTATTCCCAGTGTGAAATGAGAGATGTCTAACCGACGTCTAAATGGGTCTTTTTAGACCTCTTAGACCCGGTTAACCGACATCGTCGGTTAGACCTTTCATTTCTCACTGGATTATAATTATTTCCAATCCGAGTATGTTTTTAAAAGTTATAAACGTCGTTGCTTTCCTCTACTCTTTTTTGTAACCTAAAGTAACAATGTGTTCTTATCAGTGGAGAAATTTTAGCAGAATTAGTGCAGTCGCCCTGTATTTTTTGTGCCAAAATTGATACCTGAGTGTAGATTCATGTAGTTTGGGGTGGTAGAGTTTAAATTTATTTATTTAAATTAAAATTTGACTTTAAATTTATCGGGCTGCGCGTTATAAACAATGTTAAAGGTACATTTTAGAAAAAAAGTTGTTATTCAAAGTTTGTTTACTTCCCAGTAAACGAAAACTAATTGAAATGAATTAAAAAGAATTCACAAAGAGCTTTCGTGAATCCCGCTTTGTGACAAATACGAATTGGAGCCATGATGCAATTTTCCTGAATTCGTGAAACTGTATTGAACTTCCGAACCTTCTATCCGTACCAATTCACTGGACAAGTTTTGAGCCTTTAATTTTTTTCAATTCGTTAGCACGAATTCAATGCATTCCTTGGCCATTTCTTTCGAATGCGAATTCGTTTGGACAAATTGGTACATATTGAATTAAATTCAATTGAATATACAAAGAGCTTGAGTGAATCCCGCTTTGTGACAAATACGAATTGGAGCCTACCAAAAATGTTAATTCGTTTCAATTCATTTGAATTAGTTTTTTTTTACTGGGTTGTGAAGTAAACTGTAAACTCCACTTTCACTTGATTTTTCATTAGCAAATCGCTTGTTGAATGGTATGCAAATTCTTTGTAGAAAAATAATAAGTTATCGAAGAACCAATTATCAGAATTTCTTTGATAAAAAAATTATTTCTGACTCCTTTAGTGCTGAATCAACTTTTTTTGAAAATTTGCATAAAAATACATATATCTAATCTAATAGCGTTTATCCCAAATTGTTAAAGCTCAAAATTGTTGCTAATAAATTTAATTGTTTATAAGCACAAAATTACTCTCTCCAAAACATTAGTTTTTTGCAAAATTCAATTTGCAACAGATTGATTTTTAGATTTGCTTTTCATGAAGAAAGAAAAAAGTACAAAAAAATTTAATTTTATACGGTCAAAAATTTAGAAATTCTATTTAAGAAAACATGTTTAGTTGACAATGTTTAAATCCTCAATCAACCAATCATGAGCCGTTAAAATGGCTTTAATTAACTTTTAATTGAGGCTGGTGGAATTAACCCTGAATTCATTTGCAAGTAAACAAGTGGACCAATTTTATTTGAAGGACGGTGAACCTATACTTATAATCGGTTACCGGTCATTTTCCCGAAAGTCTAATTTTCCGAATATCTAAAATCCCGAATACCTTTTTTCCGAAACCGTTTCCCCGAATAACTAAATTCCCGAAAATTTTAAATTTTTGAACTGAGTGTAATGTAGGACACTTAAAATCCAAGAGCCTAACCAGTTTCCTCACCAGAAACTTACTAAACTTCAGCTTTATGTAATGAAAGTTAGGGTAAATTTAGTCAATTGAAATTGATACAATAAATTCAAGAAATGTGATATTGCTTAATGATCTGGTGTTAAAAACAAAAGTCTCGAGGACTTAATTCCTCTACTCTAGTTTGTGATGTGTGTGCCTAGCTGCGTTATGTGTGCAATAGCCCTCACACCAGAGATGGGTAAATGTGGAAAAGTCGAGGTTTTCTACAGTAAAATACATATGTATAATACAGTATTATACGTAAAATACTGTATTATACCATGAATTATATGCCTCAACCCTAAATACCACTTTAAATTTACAATTAAATTAATATTTTTTTAACTTATAATACAGCGCCTGACAGAATTAAAAAATTTTTGCACTGAGATAGGAGATGTTTATTAAATGACTATTTTGCTTTCTCTTTACGACCATCAAATAAATAAGTATTTAGTTTTAGTAAATTCAAATAAAAAATCTGCCCGCCCTT